GACTCAGCCTGGCAGCCTGGCCTCTGCTTCACCCGCTGTCGCTGCCGGGGCTGTTTTGCCTGCGGTGCCTTGGGCGGTGAAGCCAGTTTCTGTCTGGTGATGACGGGAGGGAAAGATCTGCGCTGCCTCTGCCAGCCCCCGGTAAAGAACGTGCCTGTGCCACGAAGCCTCTGGCCAAGAGGTTTCCTTAAGCCTTCTCGGCTGCCTGAGAGCGCTCTTTAGCAGCCTGTTTTTCCTCCTGCACAAGGTACTTCTGTGCGGTGGGACCTCCCTGCTCTCTCGCGCTGCTGGAGGCATCTCCCCTGGCATCCTGAGGGGCCGTGTTTCTCCTGCGGTGCCTCGGGTCCGTGCGCGGCTCCTCCATCGACCCAAAGTGCCCTTTCCTCAAAGGACACTGGTGGCGGCAGGACTGGCACCTTCTCGTAGCAGAGAAGGGAATCGGGCAGCCCTGATTCACCCGTCTGGTGGGTGCAGCGGTGTTGGGCCTTGAGCCTTTCCCAGCAACCAGCCGTGAGGCCAGAACCTTCCCTTGCAGCCAGCTGTGGGGCCGCTGTGCGCGGGGCTGGCGCTGGGCAGAGAAGGGCTGTTTTGGGGACAGAGGCGAGCCCCTGCCCGGGCGGGAGGCGCGAGGCCGCGCGCGGGGGGCCGTGGAGCGTTAAACAAAAGAGCCTCCCAGCTCTTGGCTGCTGCTCTGGCTTTGTTTTGCTTGCGAGGTTGTGGAGCGGGAGGAGGGCGTTTTTCCTGACGAGCGTCCAGATGTGACGCTGCCGCCAGCGGGGAGGCGGCGAACAGAAGCCGCCCGAGGCCGGGCTCCTCGGGAAACCCACGCGGGGTCACGTGCGCCGCGGTTGGAGGCGGCCGGGATGGGGCGCTTGGGCCGTGTCCCCCCGCAGGAGCTGGGCAGGTGCCTCCTGGCACGTGTTGGCCCTGCGTGCCCCCTCCCAAAGACCGGCTCCTTCCGGGCTCCGCGTGCACCGGGGCAGCTCCCTTGCGGACACCCCTCGCTGATGCCCACCCGGCGGCGCGGGGACCATGCAAGGTGCCTCCTGCCACACGGGGGTCCTGGGGCGCCTTGCCAAACCACGTGCGCCCAGGTTCTGTCGCAGGGAGCAGGGCCGCTGGCGTCCTCACGTGTCGGCAACGCGCTGCTCCCTCCCTCTGGAAGGAGAGGCGTTTGAGAGGTGGCAGTAGGTGAGCCTGCGACACCAGGATTCCTGGAAGTGCCTCCTTGCCTTCTCCACGCTGCCGTATCTGCCATGGCAGGTTTCCAGCACAGCTCTGCTCTCGCCTGGGCTCTCCCTCCCTGCCCGAGGAGCAGGCCTGCATGGTGTCCGTAGCGGTTTGGCCACCGTCTGGACTGTGGTGGTCTGGACGGGACCTGAGTGCTGGGTGCCCCTGCATCCCATGTCCCAAAAGTGGCATCAAGTGGCATCAAGTGTCTTAGCTGGAATCAAAACCTGGCTGTCTGGGGGAGTAATTAGGGTAGGAGACGGGGAGAAGACAGAGGATTTGGGTAGGCATGAAGGTGTGACTCCTTTCTGTGGAGAGATGCCCAGGACGCAGTAGCGCTCTCGGTATCGGAGATGGCTGTAGGCCCTGTTTGGGCGTCTGTTGTATTTCAGCCCCTCAGTTGCTTGGGATCTTGCATGTCCTCCTAGCTTTGTGTCTCAAGGAGAGATTCCCAGTCTGCTCTGAGCCTGGAGAGCGCCCTGAGACGGGCCCTTGACCTGCCCGCGGGTGGTGGCTGCAGGAAGCGCGTGGCTCTGGGGACGGCCGTGTCCCGGCGGGAGCCGCTCTCCGCTGCCTCGTGCGTGGGGATGCCGGCATTCCGAGCGCGTTTCCAGGGGCTCTCAGCGGAGATGCGCGCTCTGGGCAGCCGTGCCGCTCGCGCACTGCTCACCGTGTGTGGCTGCGTTTCCTGAGCCCCTGCACCCTGAATGTCACAACGTTGTCCCTTGCTACCATACTGCCAAGGCGAGGGACGCAGGCGAAACAGAGGCTGTTCTGACTCAAGGTTCCTCTCGAGCTGCATGAGATGGAGATGAAGAGGTTCCTCTCCACACACGTGTGTTTGGAAGTGTCTCCTTCTATCCTGGACCTGGCTCATGGGAGGCAGAGCAGGGAAGCAGCCTTGCAGGGTTGGCCCAGCCC